TGTGTGTGTGTGTGTGTGTGTGTGTGTGTGTGTGTGTGTGTGTGTGTTTGTGCATGTACTGAAGCCCTCAACAGCTCAGCAAAACAGATCAAAGTCAAAGTCAAGTCTCCCTCTGTCCCCTACTCACTTTGATGAATGGATGGGTGGATGGATGGAGGGAAGGGAGGGGGAACGGATAAAAAAGGAGAGGATGGAGAGAGGGATGAATGAGTGACTGAAAGTACAAGGAGTTCAGAATGGATTGACGGACGTGGTGGGGTGGAGGTGGAGAGAATACGTGAACTGGAAGTAGATGAATGAAAGGACGGATGGATGGGCTTGACCTTTTCATCACCCTCTTCAGAGAGTTGCATTTTATTCATTTTTTCTTCTTTTTTTTTTCTGTCCCTTCTTCACTATTTAAATCTACCAAACCACCATCCTTCTTCTTTGCTCTTACAATACTTTCCCCTCTCTGCTTTTCATGTTTTACCTCTAAGTCCTTTTCCCAACTTATTTTACCTTCTTTATATTCTTTTTCCCCGCTAGCCTGTAATGTCAAATTTATTTCCCACTTTCCTCCTTTTTCATCTTCAGCCCGTATTCCATAACCCCTAATTTTCCTTTTTCTTGATCACATCCAATCTTCTTCCTCCTCTCTACTCCTCTCATCTCCTGCTTTCCTCCATTCACCTTCTCGTTACCTCCCTCTCCGACACCTGCTGAGGGCCTAGCCAGGCCTGGGTCACCAAGCTAACCTCTTCCACCTGCTTGGCCTCTGGACCCCGTGGGATAATAGGTGTGAGGAGGGAGAGGGTGGGGAGGGGGAGGAGAGATAAAAGGGAAGAAAGTGAAGGAAGGAAGTGAATTCATACATGAGAACAAATGCAAATAAGACAAACACCCCAAGGTATTGAGCTAGTCGTGCTTAAAACTCCCCGTTTCTCTCCCTCTGTGGCTTTTATATGTCGTTGTTAGTCATGCTGAACACTCCAAAAAATTTCTTTTCTTTATTCTGTCAGCAGGCAAAAACTTACACACCAGCATATCTGACAGAATACACAAAATAATGCAAGTCAGCACGGCATTAGACATGTGAAACAAAGACTTGGAAACTAAAAAAAGTACTAGAGGTTTGTGCAAATTAAATGAGACTTGTATCATTGTGTATGACATCGTACGGTTGACCAAGAATACACGTTTTTTGTCTCCAAAATATTTCATAACCCCCTCCAACTCTGCCACACACGGCACAATTATCCATGATGAATTCCTCCATACAGGTAATCTGGATATGTATGAGAAAGCAGTATGCAAAATGTGCCGATATGCCAATAGAAAAGAAGAAAAACATGGCCACATTGAAAAGTGTATTTTAAATAGTATACAGTATTTTTTTGACTTTTCTATGTCTGGGCGGATGACAATGTACTGATCTTGTCACACCAATATATTGTGAAGATGTTTTGTTTTACATGACAGTTTAGGCTGTACTGGTTCTACTGATTACTTTGCAAATTAGAAGCAAAATTCAAAACGTTGGCTTCCAAATTCAAAATCGACATTTAAATGCTGCACAGGTTGCTGTTGTTCTTTTTTTTGCATATCTATTCATGCAGTTTAAACCCTGTCAGGCTGCTCTCATTTGGCGTCCGTAGCTATACATCTGAAAAATGATGATCTGTAATTCATAGATATCCAGGAGACCGCTGTTTGTTCCCTGTGTAAAACGAGCAATCAAGGTTGATTTATTTGTAACCTAACTTGCGTACTTCAGCAGCAGCACTTCCATAGTTATTCTAACCCGAACAGCAATACTTTACTAAACGTAACTAAGTACTTTTGTTGCCTCAACCCAAGTATTTCACGATTTATTTCCTAAACTTAGCCAAGTGGTTTTGTTGCCTAAACCTAAATGAGATGTTTCCTGTGAAGATGGAAGTCTATTAGGACAAGACTGTGTGCATGTCACCAGCAGAACCTGACATGTATTGCAGGACTTACAAAGTAC